GTTAGACAGATCCAGGCGTAACTGATAGGCAGTTTCAATCCAACCTTCTTACAGCAGAAAGGAGGCCCCACCAGGGATGCAGACAAACGGTCCGTGATCATATCCATACCACACTGTCCGATCTTCACCATGTCGAGTCTCGGCAGAGACAGCTCCTCTAGGCAAGAGGGCGTGTCCCTCAATGGCATCGTTATATTGGAGATGCTCTCAGTTGTCATACTGGAGGTAAACCGACGACGAAGTGCTCCTGCCCGTTGGCATTAACGAGTCCAATGCTCGAGCTCTCACCAACGCGGATTATCTTCAACTTCTTGCAAGTCCTTCGAACACCAGCGAAGGTCGAATCAACAGCGGCCGAAGGGATATCGAAGAGGTCAATATGAGAGAGAGCGGCACATCTGAAAACGGAAGAATAAGAACGCATCAGCTCCGGTAGCTCAGTCGGCAGAGCGCGTGCCTTTTAAGCCCGTGGCCGCGGGTTCGAGCCCCGCCCGGAGTGTTTTTACCCTACCTCTTGATGAACAAATTAACCGCCTTCCCGTTCAACTTCCCACAACCCCTCAAGCACAAGTCCACCATGTATTTATAATATTCACTCGTAGGCAGCTGAGCCATTCGTGTCAGCGTCTCGGGAAGGAGAGTAGTAAACTCAGGGAGTATCACTCTACAGACTCCCCGACGTCGCCGGAAAGCCGTTAACCTTCACATCGCGTTACACTTGCATTAGTGGCACAGTGACTCACACGAAGTCATTAGTGATAGGCTTGTTGCCCCCATTGATTATTCTCAGCTCATTACGCCCATTGAATGTCCGCACTAAATGCTCAAGGCGAGCGCACGTGAGCCCCAATGACCCGAAAGGGGCTGACAAGCACGTGCCATCAGCTTCGCCCGAGTCGCTGAGACATTAGTACACGAATTAACTTTGTTATCTGGCGGGATGTGTTCCAATATCATCTGGAGGACCTCATCAGGGAGACCATTCAGTCCACGCGACCCGTCGCCTGCCGACGAGAAATCTCGGGGCTCGATCTCAACCTAAACTAGACCTGCCGAAAGGGCTTTCACCAAATGAAGGAGTTCCCACCTCATTCGGAAGGTGTTTTCCTGTGCTCGCTCTCCGCTTCACTGCATCCCCTTGAGGCTCTGCACCTTCTAATTTCCGCTTGAGCGTTCTGCTAGGGGACGATTTGCAGTCTCGTAACCATCGAGTGAAATGAGTCAGATCCTCTGGGAGAAGCGTCTCGGAGCATTATCTTG